AAAAAAAAAAAAAAAAAAAGAAAGAGATCTGAACCTCAGTGAAATGCACCACTGCACAGCTATCAGAATTTATGTGTGTGCATATATGAGTTTATTAGCTAATCTTCACCAGAGTAGTAAGTCTGAATAACTGCCAGTCTATAAAATATATACAAGAGGACTTCAAAAAACTTGTGGAAAAATTCTATTATCTATTTCATTTTTCCATAAACTTTTTGAAGCCCCCTCATATATCAATGAAAGCAACAACCAATTTTATTTACTTCATTAGGTCTGTAAAACTGATATATATGTCACAGAACCATTGCCACCACAAGTCATAAGTGAAAAGTTGAGCAGAAAGCTTTTCACATTAAGACAATTTAATTGTAAATAATCTGATAGCAGCAGAGTCTTCCATAGCTAGTTCCATAGAACAACAGTTCCAAGATTTTCTAAGGGGGGAAAAGGAATCTCCTACTTCAGTCCTAAGCCATTACAAAGTGGTTGAATGCAATTCTCTTTGGTTTAAAGACATTAAAAATTAAAGAATTGAGTGGTGACTGATAGTAAATAATTCTGGCCTGGATTTAGCACATGTTATGAGACACAGATTAAAAATAAAATTGAAAACATCCTATTAATCTATCTATTACATCTATTTGTTCCAAAAACAACTAAGTTTTCCCATTCTCACTAATTAGCTAGGTAGCCCTTTCCCCAACAACAAAAAACAAGATTATTAACATCTACTCTCTTTACCAAGGAGCGCTGGTAGTGTAGTAGTTATGAATCGGGCTGCTAACTTTACGGTCAGCCGTTTGAAACCACCAGCCATTCCGCAGGAAAAAGATGAGGCTTTCTGCTCCCATAAAAGTTTACAGCCTCGGAAACCCTATTCAGGGTAGCTGTGAGGTGGAACCACCACCACTCTCTTTATCCTACAAACTATGTTAGACAACTGTATCAAATATGCTCTTTTGAGGGACAAAGGAGCCCTCAAGCTATATAACTGTTTCCCTCACCCAAAATAAATATACAAAGGAGATTTCAAATGTTTATGAAAAATGTTTGAAATCCCCTCATATCAACCAGTGGTACAGTGGTTAAGCGCTCAGTAGCTAAGTTAAAGGTCGTTTGTTTGAACCCACCAGAAGCTACATTAGAGAAAGATGAGGCAGTCTGTTCCAGTAAAGACTACAGCCTTAGACTCTAACTTAGACTCCTATAGGGTAGGGTCGCTATGAATTGGAGTCAACTCAATGGCAATGGGTTTTTAGGTTTAGGTTGGAGGGATTATCATGACTGAGGTAACGTGCATAGACTCTAGGTGTAAATCCCGACTCTCAGATTTACTGCCAATGAAATCTTTATCAAGTTACTTTAATCATTCTGTGCCTCAACTTCCTTATATATAAAATGGAATCATAATAGCACAATTCTACAGGGTTGTGAGGAATAAATGTGTTCTATGTAAGGCACTTATAATTATTTGTCTGGCACACTGTAAGCATTACATATTAAAGTTTTGCTTCTCTGACAGAACAAAACACTGCCGGGTCTTACACCATCCTCACAATTGTTGTGATTGCGCCCATTGCTGCTGCCACTATACGAATCCACCTTGTTTGGGCGGGGGGTGGGGGGGTGTCTTCCTCTTTTATGATGACCCTCCACTTAACCAAACCCGATGTCCTTTCTCCTGATAACATGTCCGAGTATAAGTACACCATTCTGGCTGTACTTTTTCCAACACAAATTTGTTTGTTCTTCTGGTAGTTCCATGGTACTTCCAATATTATTTTCTATCACCATAATTCGAAAGCATAAATTCTTCTATGATCTTCCTTCCTCACTGTCCAACTTTCACATGTAATGAAGCTACTGAAAATACCATGGCCTGGGTCAGGTGTACCTTAGTCCACAACTGATTATCTTTGCTCTTGAACACTTTAAAGAGGCCCCTGTACAACAGATTTGCCCAATGCAATCCTGCTACTCTAGTAAGAGGCATTTCTTAATTTGTGACCTTTAAACCTAAAGTTACTATTAAAGTTCTATTACATTCAAGGATTCAATCTATGGGCTCTAAGTTTTGGATTAGTTCTGCTATAAACAAACCAACAAGGGAGTCAAAAAGGATTTGCTTATGGTTTATTTCTGAAAAGATACTTTTTTCTGTATACTAAGCTGTTGCTGTTTGTTGTTAAGTGCCATTGAGTAGGTTCTGACTATAGCGACCCTGTATAGAGCTCCAAGGGGCAGCTGGTGAGTTTGAACTGCTGACCTTGTGGTTCAAGCTGACCTTGTGGTCAAGCGCTTATCCTACAGCACCACAAGTTAATAAGCTTTAAAAAAAAAAGCCTTCATTTAAAATCCAGAAAAGGCGGAATTTATCTGAATTTTCAAGCAGTGATTATCAATTTGATGATATATGGTATGTATATTACCTGATTTGACAAAAGATGAAGAAAGTCAGATAAACATGCATTAATGACCAGTTCTAATATTCAAAACAACAAAAGAGTAGATATGTTAGCATTAACATTTTTTATCATAATTTTTTTACCTAAATTTTCAAGGTCTTTCCTGGTGACAAATTTATAATCATCATAAACTGTGCTTTCCGGATTCTCTTCTAATTCTTCTGTCAAATTGTCTAAGAAGGAACACCACCTGGGAGCAGGGCCCAAAACCTGTTGGCATTTATCAGAAAGTCAGAAAACGTACTTTTTCATGGTATCACAATTAAAAGTTAATTATTTTACAAACAGATTTCTTTAAATTAACTTTTTAATCCTTGTTTCTAGAAATAGTATTGAAAACTTGTAAATATATAAAAAGTACAAAAAGACAACAAAAGAAATAGCAAACATTTTTGTTTACAAAGGGAAAACATCTCAAGTCTAAAATTTGTTGCTGTTGTTAGTGCCGTTGAGTTGTTTCCAACTTATAGCGACCCTGTATAGGGTTCCCAAGGGGTGGCAGGTGAGTTTGAACTTCCGACCTTGTGGTTCAAACCAACCTTGAGGTCGAGTACTTATCCTATAGCACTAAAATACAAAAATATTAATGAATGTTCTTACATTAGAATGATAAAAATGCCAATAAGGAAGTCAGGTACTTATAATAATTAATATCTACCCATTCATCAGTAGTTTGAAACTACCAGTAGTTCCGCGGGAGAAAGATGAGGCAGTCTGCTCCCATAAAGATTTACAACCTCGGAAACCCTGTGTAGGGTCGCTATGAGTTGGAACCGACTCCACGGCACATAACAACAACAACCTATTCATCCAGCATTACTCTCTCATTCAAAAAAGTATGAGACCCATTTGAGTAGCCTCGATGGCTTGATAATCAGAACTTGACTAGAGAGGAAGATAAAAAAATGTATTTTTTTTTTTGATAAATGAAACGAGAGTAAATTGTTACCATTTGATGAACTTGACCTATACTTATGGATGTAGTAGCTCAAAATACCAAGAGGGAAGGAGTCTTCACACCCAAAACCAATCCTATCCCCTCTGTATATAAGGTAAATAGGGATGGGCAACTTAGGTATTGGCTACCTAAAATGTAGTGATGATAAAGGCATGAACTGACTGGCTTACAAGTTTTCAAGAGGAGTTTGGTTTACATGTGCAGGGGAAGGTAGAGTTCCCATTGGATAGTTTTCATCTTGTCTAGATGGGTCTGGTGAAAAGAGATGGGGATAAGATTCTTATGATTCAATAGTGAAAAATTGTTATCATGACTAATTGTGACTCTCACAACTGTAAAGGTAGAAGTTTTATAACAAAAATGGGGGAGTAGTCAATCTTATACTACAGAAACAGAGGAACCTAGGACCATCAAGAAAGAAGAGCACAAGCAGAGTGCAGGACCCTATCCAGAGAAGCAGTGATACCAGAGATGGTGGCACAGATGGCGACATGGAGAGAAGGAGCAGTTGAGGACTCTAGACTCATGGAAAGACAGGGACTGGGTGCTGGCAGCCAGGTGGCAGACTTGCAGAATGTACTCTTTGGTTGTTTAAATTATTATATATTCCTGAGTATTTCTGTGTACCTTCCCTCCCCCCCCCCCCCCCGCCCCCCAAAAAAACACAGAATGGAAGCAAATACTGTTGAATGATGATGCACTGAGGAGATTGTAATCATTGCAATGAAACAATGGTATAAAGCCAATGGTCTCCATGTAAACTATCACTCAGTTCACAATAAAAACTTTTTTAAAAAAGTATGAGAATTTACAAAAGCAAATTTGCAAAAGAAGATTTTTAAAGTTTGGTACCATGACAAACAAAAGCCTAAAAGGATTTTTACCATCTTTTGAAAATTTTCAACTAATTACTTGATAATTATATTAAACTTTGCTTGGCCTACTTTATTTAACTAATAAAAAAAATAAAATTTATAAGTCAGTAATGAAATATGAGTAGAATATGTAAACTTGAAATCTAACTACTGTTACAAACATTGTTATTTTGCTTTTTACTTTTTTTTTTTGCTGTTGATACAAATCTTTTCCATTGAGGTCAATGCTCATTCCAAAGGAAATAAAGCTCATTAAATGGAAAAATGCTATTGAAATTCTCCCTTTCTGAACAGAGAATACTGCATTCAGACAAAATGGAACTTCTAATAACCCTTTCCTGTTCATCTTGGTAGTAATTACTATACATGAAAAAGCAAGAAGTTTAATAAATATTACCCAATCTAGCTTAAGTTTTTATGGAGAAGGAAGAGAGTTCTACCAAAGAAAAATGATCCCTGTTAAGACCCTTATCAAGGGTATACTTTAGTAAAATAAAGCAGATTAATCAGAAAGAGAGAGATAGAGAGAGAGATGATGGTAATACAAATTAGCTACCTGGTTTGGCATGATTGGAGAGTGTGATTCCCTATCCCTTCCCTCCTCAACCCCACTTTACCCCAACACACAAGGCTAAGGTTATAAACATGAAAAACAACTCTTAATGAACATTAAAGAAGTCCAATAGAGAAGTTTCATATTGGTACAAGTGATGTTACACTGAGAGGACTGCAATCAATAGATGAAACAATATGTGTATGAAGTGTTAAATGTAAAACCAAATATCTGCTCTTCACCCAACTCACAATAAAAAGTTTATACTAGCCTAATCTATGTAATTTTTCTTAACAAAAGTAAAGGCTTTAAAATACTACTAAGTGGTTTAATTCTAACCATAAATGATTTTTAAACACTTAAGACAAAAGATACAGGGTATTAAAAAAAAACAAAAAAAACAAAACTCTATATAGAACATATTCTAAAGTAATTCCTATGATTTTAAGCAACTATGAGACAGTAGCTTGATATCAACACATATTCATATCAAAAGCTATTCTAATAAAGCAGTGTGCTAATCCAAAGACACTATGATCTCCCGAAAGAAGTTCAAAATCTAGCTATAGTACAAAGGTGGATGAATACACACACAAACTTGTATGAAACAACAGACTAAGAGAGATGACAGCAGAAAAAAAGCAGGGAAGGTTGGGAACAATGAATAAACATACTTTAATATAGTAGGATGAGGGAAACATTACTGGTGGTAATGAACATACGAGCAAGCTAGGAAAGCCATAGGGTGCTTTCTGAGTATGAGAGTATACATACACTTTTAATGATCAGGGTATATTTCAATCAGTCATGAATCTGCAAATACAAAGCTCTATCTACCAAATAATGATAGGTAACCTAGGAAAGCAATCTTCTCTTCTTTAGGTAGGATGACAGAACATTACGAGGTGGGCTTCCAACAGTTTGTAGAAAACTTCTATTATCTTTTAATTCCATTTTCCCACAAACTTTTTGAAATCATCTCATATCATCACTTTTCTAGCATATGAGAAGATTCAAGATACTGTCATCTTCACTTGTTTTGTTAGCTGCTGGATTTCTAGTACCTAAAACAGTACCTGCCAGGCAGTAGCTGCTCAAGAAATATTTAATAAATCCAACCCTACATAAAACACAAGGTACCCATAAATTTTATGTACACAAGTACTAACACTTAAAGGGGTCCTGTTTCAAAAAATTTTTCAAATAGTCTAATTTTCCTTATTCAGATAAAAATACTCAAGTACCTCACCACAAAATTACTGAATATAAGAACATTTTTTGGTGAAAGATCTATTTTGTATTCTAAGCAAAGGTGTAATGGTTACTCAAAAGACCTCAGGATAAAATCGTTTCAAATGCAATTCAACTAAAAACATGCACTTCAAAGCCTATTAAAAGATTATACTAGTTTTTCTTGCCCCCTCCCTTTTTTTTTTTTTTTGGTGGCGGGGAGATGCGAGGGATGGAAGAATACCAAAATATCAGGTCAGAACTGAATTTATTTTTCACATAGTCCTGTTTTATAATGTTCCATTACAGTCTTTCTGATTACCTATCTGGATTCTAATGGAATTGTTTTAAATTGCCTCTCAGGGGACAAGTCTAGTTGTGGTAAATAATGTCTTCAATCATATGCATGACCATTAAATTTTATAGGAGGAAATATTTTCATGAAAAACAAAATGAAATCTGTGGGTTGACTTTATTAATCACATTTCTCCAGTTCCTTTTCTGATGGGGGGGGGGGAGATAAAAACAGCAGAACAACCAGAACCAAGTTGAAATGCTGATTTCCACTGGTATTAACTGTAGATTTTAGTAACATTAAGTGCTTCCCTCAAAGGCCTACGAGTAAGGTACAAAACTAGTGGTTAGTGTAACCAATGGTGGTGGTGTGCCACTGAGTCGGTTCCAACTCATACACACCCTGTATTGTGTTTCTGAAACTGCAAATCTTTACAGGTGCAGAAAGTCTCATCTTTCTCCCAAGAACCCGCTGGCAGATTCAAACTGCTGACCTTGAGGTTAGCAACCCAAGTAAGTAACCTACTATGCTACCAGCAATGGACTCGAACTGTTGGTCTTGCAGTTAGCAGCCCAAACTGTAACCTATTAGGCTATCAAGGTTTCTTAGCATAACCAATAAGGAGGGATTAATCATTGCTGGAATCTCTGGGTGACACAGTTACATGGTCCACTATTAGCCAAAACTTTGGTGGTTCAAACCCATCCAGATGTGCCTTGAAAGTAAAGTCTTGTGATCTGCTTCTGAAAAGTCACAGCCTTGGACACCCAGTGATGGTTACCGCTATATGTGTAAACTTGGTTAGGCCATAAATCTCCATGACTTGGCAGAAAATAGGAAATCATCTTTCATTTTGAGGTCTGATAGGAGCTGCCAATCAGATGAAAGAGGAGCTTCAGGCTAGGACCTGCCTTCAATATGTATGTTCTGACAAACCCAAGCATTTATATATTGATTTTGCAATCTTCTCGTAGCTTGACCTCCAGCAAGAAAAGAAGTGTTCAACCTGACGTCTGACTTGTAGATTTAGAATTTGCAAGCCCCTATAGCTCTGGTAGCGTAGTGGTTACGAGTCGGGCTGCGAACTTTTATGTCAGCAGTTCGAAACTACCAGCTGTTCTGCAGGAGAAAGATGAGGCTTTCTGCTGCTGTAAAGATTTACAGCTTCGGAAACCCTGTTCAGGGTTGCTATGAGTCGGAATTGACTTCATGGTACTTAACAACAACATAACTACCAGGAGTCTTGGTGTGGCGCTGTGGGTTAATGCACCAGACTGTGCATTAACTGCAAGTTTGGCT